CCCCCAAGTTTGACTGGCTTGATCGAATTGCAACAGCCATCTTCCGAGCAGGCCGTCGTCCTTGCTATCTGACCGAGTACGAACTGGTCTTGCCCTGAACCACCATGACGGCAGGCACGGTGATGCTTGGCTCGCACGATTTTGGCCCTCGTCGGCCCCGTGCGGCCACTGTTCCTTCCCGGAGCTCCTTTCGACCCCGAGGTCCTTTCCTATTGCCATTCCTGCAGCTCGGGGAAGGTCACGCGTTCAATGAATGCAGGGCACCCTTCAAGTGCAGGTGCCCGATTTCTGCATCCGAGGGAACTTCCATTGTATTTTCCGGAACGTTGGCTCGAGACTGGTGACCGAAAACGCTCGACCGTCTCATCGTTGACCATCCCCAATCTGCGAGCCACTTCAGTTGGCAAGTCGGCGACGGTTGCGGTTCTTTTCTTGCCGGTTTCCACGTTCTCGAATTCAGTTCGGCTCGACAACGGTTCCGCATCACTCCCCGACCTGGGCAATTGCTGTGCATCATGCGGTCCATCTCAACGGCCGTGGTCGCCACGCTCGCGGCTGGGGTTCTCGCTGGGGTCCTGCCAACTTCCCCCAGCATGTCTGAGGTTGAACGCTCTGGCACGCTCTCGTTGAAGCAAGTGCGTAACCCAAACTTCGTCCGAAATGGTCCCATTCAACTCGCCCGGACTTATTACAAGTACGGCGTGCCTCTCCCGGACGACCTCAGAGCCGCTGTGGCACGGATCCGGGCCAGTGCGGACAAGCGGTCAACTGGCAGCGCCGAGACGAATCCGGAGACGCACGATGTCGAATACTTGACACCGGTCTCCATCGGTACCCCTGGCCAAGTGCTCAACCTCGACTTCGACACTGGGTCCAGCGACCTCTGGGTGTTCAGCTCCGAGACTGCCAAGAGCGACGTTGGAGGACAGACCATCTACGACCCGAGCAAGAGCTCCACGTCCCAGAAGCTGCAGGGCTACTCGTGGCAGATCTCATATGGCGACGGCAGCTCCTCCAGCGGCGATGTTTATACGGATACCGTCATAATCGGCGGCCTGGCGGTCCCCTCCCAAGCGGTTGAGGTTGCAAAGAAGGTTTCGAGCGAATTCACCTCTGACCCCAACAACGACGGGCTGCTCGGGCTGGGCTTTAGCTCCATCAACACGGTCGAGCCTGTTGCGCAAAAGACATTTTTCGACAATGCCAACACCAGCCTCGATGCTCACGTCTTCACGGCTGACCTCAAAGCCGGTGCCCGTGAGTGGCCGAGTCCCTAATCACCTTTACTTAGCCCCCGAGCCCTGACACTGACATGGTGATTCTCCTAGCCGGTCACTACAACTTCGGTTACATCGACCCGAGCGCTTACACGGGCAACGTCACGTACGTTCCCGTAGACAACAGTGGGGGTTTCTGGGCGTGGACCTGTTCGGGATACGCAATTGGTTCGGGCAGCTTGAAGAGTACCACGTTTCAGGGCATTGCGGACACGGGTACGTCCCTGTTACTTCTGCCCAGTTCCGTGGTCTCGGCCTACTACGGCCAAGTAAGCGGCGCAAAGTACGACGGCACCCAGGGCGGATACACGCTTCCGTGCGACCAATCCGTCCCCGATTTCGTCTTCAGCGTCGGCAACGGCAGCGCCATGATCAGCGTGCCCGGTGATTACATCAAGTACGCCCCGACAGGATCGAGCGGAAAGACGTGTTTTGGGGGGATTCAGGGGAATACCGGCATCGGGTTTTCCATCTACGGAGACGTCGCTCTCAAGGCGGCTTTTGTCGTGTTTGACGGCGCCAACCAACGATTGGGCTGGGCGCCCAAGCCCCTGCCGTCTTCAACATGATGAAATGAGCACCGAATTTCTGATGGCAGCGTGTAAAGGGAGATTTCGAGCCTTCGGCTAGGTTTGCGGAAGTTCGGGAGATTCCTCATTCTTCATTTCCTCGGCGTCATCCAGTCAGTCGAAGCCAGATTTGCATTTGCCGTCCCCAAAGTACGCATGTATCATTACATTTGCCAGCCAAAGCTTTTCGTCTTTTACCTCTTCAATTCGCATCTTTTCAAAGAGGACCCAAACTGATATAGCTGAGATATCCCGCGAAGTGCTTACAAGTCTAGTCATTAGTAGCCAGTTCTCGACTCAGGGAATGAATTCTAGTGACATTAAGCACATGGAGAGAATCCATGATGAGTCAGCTCATGTTCGTCTGTGAGGGTGGAGCTTGGATGCCGATTTGTTGACCACCTGGGGCCAGTTGGCCCACAGGTGTATCTGTGCGCAAGCCCACCCACATCTTCTGCAGGTCAGTAGCTCTGCCACCGATCTTGCATCTCACACACACACACATCACCACACCACAATACTACCGCATTGCTGCATCTCTCTCCCTGGTGCATCTGCACCTTCTAGAGGTTATAAGCCCCCTCTTTTTCCGCATTCAGCTACATTTCCCTTTTTCTGGCACTATTTGAAGCCTTTCCAACAAGTAGAAAAAAGCCGATTTTAGGCCGTTTTTCGGGGGTTGGTTACCCTACAGAGCTAGTCAACTACCCCACCATACCCAGTCAATCGCGCGCGTACGCGCGACCGCGTATCGCATCGTATTACAACGCGACCAATTCTTCGATTTTCGACTGATTCTTCGATTTCGACCAATTCTTCGTTTTTCGACCAATTCTTCGATTTTTCGACCTTTTTTCGATTTTTTCGTCAACAATCTCTCTCTTTCATCAAACCGTAGGTTCTCTAGCGAAAACGCCCACCACGACCTCTCTCTTTTATCAAACAACCGTAGGTTCTCTAGCGAAAACGCCTACCACGGCCTCTCTTTCTTAAACAACCGTAGGTTCTCTAGCGAAGTCGCCTACTACGGCTATCTCTCTTAACAACCGTAGGTTCTCTAGCGAAAACGCCTACTACGGCCTCTCTTTCTTAACAAACCGTAGGTTCTCTAGCGAAATCGCCTACCACGGCCTCTCTTAACAAACTGTAGGTTCTCTAGCGAAAACACCTACCACGGTCCCTCTCTTAACAAACCGTAGGTTCTCTAGCGAAATCGCTTACTACGGCCTCTTTCAACAAACCGTAGGTTCTCTAGCGAAAACGCCTACTATAGTCTCTCTCTCTTAACAAACCGTAGGTTCTCTAGCGAAAACGCCTACTACAGTCTCTCTTACAACAACTTTACTACGGATAGTCGTATCGCCAAGATGTATTACAAGGAAGGCTAGGAAGGCTAGGAAGGCTGGAATCTGGGATCTAGGAATCACATAACTAGCTATAGCTATAGCCGTGCGTTAACAAAGGGTGTCTAGTCACGGAGATCAACACTATATCAATCATCACAACTTCCGGATTAGGAAGTCTCTCTCTCTATATATAGTCTATCATAGCTCTGTGTCGGTAGGCTTGGGGGGCTGTGTTGACTACCTAGGGCTAGTTGGCCTACAGGTGTATCTGTGCGCAAGCCTACCCATATCTTCTGCAGGTTAGTGGCTCTGCTACCGATCTTGCATCTCACATACACATACATCACCACACCACAATACTACCGCATTGCTGCATCTCTCTCCCTGGTGCATCTGCACCTTCTAGAGATTACTTGACCTTCGAAGATGCCTCGTTTTCTTGGTCTGGCAGTGGTGATATTTTGTTTACTCTACCGTTGAGCAAGATTTGTCAAGGAGTTGTCCGTGACCTGACCACCATATATTACCAGGTAGGTGGCTACATGCTGCTTTGGAGTACCACTGCAAGCAATAGATCATCAGGTAATGTTGCCCAGAGAAGCACCAAGGCCGTGGTAGTGTCGGATGTCCCGATTAGGCAAAAATGAGGTCGTGCCCGGGCTCGAACCGGGGTTCTTGGAAGGAGAGGAGAATCTTCAAAATCTAAAGTGCTATTGAAACGCTACACTACACAACCTTGGCGTAGAAGTTGCTGCACTGTGGTGTGATACGATCTTATGAAGGATTCGCTTGTAATCTTGTACTGTACCTAGGTTTCTCTCCGTCGATAGTTGAAACATATCACATGGCAGATGCTGACCTTACTGACTCCCGTTCCGAATCAACAAATACAACTAGGCCTCAAGCATTTCGACAGGGGGCGCGGTGAGGAGGCCCGGCTGGCATCCGCTGGAGTGTGGTCCTTGGCCGTGAGGACCTGAACCGGCTTCGTCATTGCAGAAAGGCAGTCACCCTACGAGGTTCGTCCTTCAGCTCGCCTGCAACAAACAGACTACTCACCGGGCGCCTGGTATTTCAGCGTCTCAGTAGTTTATGACGGCCCCGATTGTGTGCAAATACAACAACCTTCAAAAAGCTAGAGGGAGCGCTTTTGCAAATAACCACTGCGGGGGCTTCACGGAGACTCACGAAAGAACGCCTTGCCTCCTGGGTATTTCCATCCTCAACGCCTTGTATCCCGTGTCTGCCATATGTCCATGATTTGTGACCCAAAGAACCCAGAGTAGATGCCAAACCAAACTAGGATCTTCAGAAATCTTCCTCCTCCTCCTCTTCGTCCTCGTCCTCGGCCCCGTCCTCCTCTTCCGTGGGAACCTCAACCTGGAAGTAAACGGCGGCCTCACTCGCGTTGGGGTCCAGAAGAGCAAAGGCGACAGAGCACATGTCTGTCAGCCCCTTCTTGCCTAGAGTGTCGCTCGGCTGAGCCTTGAGGTTCTTCCATCCTTCATGCAAATCGTTCGGGTTCTTGGGGAGCGCGTAAGCAACCTGAACGTCGCTGTCGTGTGCTGGTACCGGCGTCGTCGCGCCGGGCTGCGCGATCGAGGCGGTCAGGCCGTTGGGGTAGCGGTCTTGGAGGATTGAGAGAAGCTCGGTGGTGACGCGAGAAAAGGGCCAGTCGACCATGGCAAACAGAAAGATGGTATGGATGCCATATTTTAGACGGATCGTGATCTCGGGATCACCCGCGGGGTTTGCGTTGCGCGGCTGGTAATAGGTAGGGTTAGCGGGACTCGGGAGTGCAGCAAGTCGCAGTCTGATCCACGGGGCTATTCGCACCATCTCTGTTAATCTGCCAGGTCCCTGCCGGTTCGGAGAGACGGAGATGGTCCAGAGACCGGGAACCTCGGTGTCGCGTGAAGGTGTCTGTCTGTGGAGCGATCAAAAGATGGACGGGACGCTGCAGGCAGAACCTGAAGGCGGGAGCGCCCTGCCAAGACCGGCGTGGAGGGGCACTGACACCCTGCCCGAACCACGCTAATTTAATTATGAGCTGGGGGGTGGGAGCTTGGACCAGCGCATCTCGAGCATTTTCAAAGCACTGGGCTGCGCTCGACTTGCGAGTTTGGATGAGGAGAGCGGACCTTGCCACATCTCCTTCTAGACGATGATGCGCCGTTGATCACACTGGATCTCAAACCACTCCTTTTGCCCGTGCCGCAGCGATATCACACCTCACAGAGACTGTCATCAACACGATGGCGACCACAGACGACAAGGCGTCCTGGCGGACGCAGCGCGAACGGCCGCCCCCTCCGTCCCAGGCCGAGATTGACAAACTCTACCACAACTCCCGACTTTCCCTTCCCGCCCCCTTGCGGCTCCCGATGGCCTCGTCCTTGGCCTTCTTCGCTGGATTTACCCTGGGAACGGCCCAAGGAGGCAAGATGGCCGGTCTACGGTTCCGGGCCGAACACGCGCACAAACTGCCCGCCACCACGACGGGCTGGTTCCTGTATCACAAAAGCAAGAACTACCAGATGGCCTATGGCGGAATACGCGAAGGGTTTAGGATGGGGTTCAAAGTGTCTTTCTGGACGACGGCCATGTTTGCGATTGAGCAGATGTTCGACTCGTATCGTGGGACTGCCGACTTCGTCAACACGGTGACATCTTGTGTTACCGTGGCAGGAGGCTTTAGTCTTTGGAGTAGGGCACTTCCCCATTTTCCTACCATGCGGCACGGCGTTGGATGATTGCTGACATGGCTATTGCGCTGCAGATCGCTTCTCGTTGCCCATGACCGCTCGGACAACGAAAGCCGCCCTTGTCGCCGGATTCTTCTACGGCGGTCTCCAAGACCTCCTGGGCGTCGTAAGGGGACGCCCCATCGGATACGTCGACTGGATCAAACAGCGATTGGGTTCATCACGACAGGAGCAGCCGAAAACCCAGTAGGCGACAGCGCTGCTTCACTTGCCGCGTCTTGACATGCTCCCCCCCGCCCCCCCCGCCCCCACCGCCGGACCGGTCGACACGCTATGCTGCGGGCCGGGCCTGTCTCAGCGCCCGAAACAATTTTCCCCCCTTTTCGGTGCCGAGGCCCGGAGTCCAATCGGCGGATGAGGAATAATACAACCCCCACGCTCCATTGGTGTTGACAGCATGGTCGGCTGGTCGGGTGACCACTCCGACATGTCAATTGATAGACGAGCGCCGACATCAACCGCTCCCAGTCCCCGCTCAATCCTGCGAGACTGGGATTGCGTTGTCTTGGGGCGCCGTTGCGATTTCCCGACGTCCTTAAGCCGGCGGTTGCTCACATGACCGATGGCCACACGGGCCATTCTGCCGCTGCAGTGCTCCATTGAGCCACGGCGAATTTCCCACAAAGCCGCTGCGGCGGTGCCCTCGGCCCCTTGGCAAGCCCCGCTTTGATGGCTCTCCGCGCCCTGGATGCTGATCGTGGGGCTGCACTTGCGATGCCGGCAGAGATCGGATGCCCCACAGGCGCGGCTATCTGCGGTTTTCTGATAAGGGACCAGCGATAACATCATCGGCTGCGTCAATGAGCCTGGACAAAGGGCACGTCTGGATGCACAATGGCAATCATTCGTCCCCCAAACCCGCGGACATTGGTGGATTCTGTTGTGTTCCGGGCTGGGCAGCTTGCGATACCGGTGGGAAAAAGGCTGAGAAGCAGGTTGTTGGCGAGATATATCTTCTCAGTTCGTCTCATCAAATCGAGGGTCACCCCCCCATGATGCCACGCTCAGCTCTCTCGCCCACATAATTCGCCCTCTGGTTTCCATCCCAATATCCCATCTTTCTGATCGCTTGCCCCGCGCCATCTCAAGTCCCTCCAAGGAAACAACGCGCAAGAACCAAATCAGCGTTGCGGCGGCACACGGCCATGGCACCGATTCCCCGGTCGCTACCTGGCATCCTTGCGCCGTGTAAAATACCGAGGAGAGGTCTGACTATCGCGACTACTCCCTGTGCTGTCTTCTTTGCGCCAGTCACCCATGGTGCGTCCCCATATTCGCACCGAGGCCTTCGGACAACGACGACAAGATCAGCATCAACATCAACATCGACATCAACATCGACATCAACATCGACATCAACGCGGTCCCTGCACTCCTCGTCCAACCACTCATCCCCTTCCGGGCATCTCACATTAAATGGTCCTGTGGACTTGCCACCTGAACATCAACTAGCGAAGATGGCTCAATCAGCACCGTTGGCTGTCCTGCCACTGACCAACGTCCTGCGTTCACTAATGACGGCCACCGTCTCATCCTCGCCCCTCTTACTCCCGCCTTCCCTCGCCATGATGTCCATCTTGGCCAACACCGCCAACCCGGCACTCAACCCCGACAGGAACCCGATCCTCCGCTTCTTCCTGAAGAAGACTTTCTATGCCCAATTCTGCGCCGGCGAGAACGCGCCCGAAGTACGACGTACCATCGAATCGCTTCAGAGGATTGGTTTCGGCGGTGTCATCCTGGGGTACGCCAAGGAGGTCGTACTCACCGACGCGCAGATGAAGGATCTCTCGTCGTGTGGTTCTGGTGCTGCCGCGGAGGAATGTGTGCGGAACGAGATCACCCCTTGGGCCAACGGGACTATCGAGACGGTGCTGCTCGCGTCGCCGGGCGACTTCGTGGCGCTGAAATTCACGGGTGCCGGCAGACAGGCCCTTCACGCCCTTTCGCAGCGCCTACCCCCTTCCGACGCGCTGGCATCTGCTATCGATGGCATCTGCCAGCTCGCCGCATCCCGTGGCGTGCGCCTGCTCTTGGACGCCGAGCAGCAGGCCCTGCAGCCGGGTATCGACGACTGGTCGCTCGGGTACATGCGCAAGTACAACACGCCAGATAACGCCGTTGTTTATGGGACATACCAGGCGTATCTAAAGTCGACACCCTCGACGCTCAGCCGGCACCTCGCCGTCGCCCGCGAGGGTGGGTTTGCCCTTGGCGTCAAGCTTGTCCGTGGGGCCTACCTGGGTTCCGACCCCCGGCATCTCATGCACGACACCAAGGCCGACACGGACGTGGCCTACGACGGCGTCTCGGAGGCCCTTTTGCGGCAACAATGGAACGCCCAACTCCAGCCGCCGCAGACCCAGGGCGACAAGACGGCCTCGTTCCCAAGCGTGAGCGTGGTGCTGGCTACGCACAACCGGGAGTCGGTGCTCAAGGCGCAGGCGATCCTCTCCACGTGCAAGGTCGACACCGAGGTGGCGTTTGCCCAGCTGCAAGGTATGGCGGACGAAGTCAGCTGCGAGCTGGCGACGAGCGCCCGCACCGGCGAGACGCCGCGCGCCTACAAGTACCTCGTCTGGGGGTCGACGGGCGAGTGTATGAAGTATTTGCTGCGCAGGGCGTACGAAAACCGGGATGCCGTGCAGCGGACACGGGCTGGGAGGGATGCCATGCGGGCTGAACTGTTCAGGAGGGTCAAGTGCCTGTTTGGGTTCGCAAAGTGAGAGGCCTCGACTAGGGTCAAGTGATCATGCATGGGGCGAAGGCACTACATAGGGGGGAGGATGGCGTTTGGCAGCGATGGGTTTTGATCTTTCTGGTGCCGTGATGACAGGGAAGCGTTCATAAGTAGTTATTATGGAGTTCTCAGCGAGCATAATGAGCCTGATTTTCACTTGGTAACCAGCCGCCCCAAGTTCGCCCTTTGTCTCCTTCTGATTCCTGAATACCATTCCCGGTATGTACCTGT